ACATTGACTATTTTGTTCATATAATATAATAATAATTAAAAATTAAAACAGCATGTATCTACAATACACATATAGCGCATATAGACAGTTGATGTGCCCATAACTGAAAAAAAAACATGTTATTATATAGGTGGAGACCATTGGTGATGCTTACATGGTAGCATCGGGTCTGCCAAAGAGAAATGGAAACAAGCACGCTGCTGAGATCGCCAACATGTCTCTGAACATCCTCAGCTCAGTAGGGACCTTCCATATGCGGCACATGCCAGACGTTCCCGTCAGGATACGCATAGGAATCCACTCAGGTGAGACACTACAAAGCCAGAGTCTCCATCACACTTAATATAGGTTAAACTTCTACTCCAGTTGAAACATGTTTCTCCCTGCAGGTGCCTAAAATTCATACAGAGTTAGAAAGATCTGATTTATGTTACTGTGCCCCTCATATTTGGAATTTGCTTAAAAAAACAACTTTAAGATGGCCTCATATTCTTCATTGATAAGCAGGTGCAGTATTACCTGTTTCACAGCTCATTGCAGATTATGAAAAAACTATTTTCCCCCAAACTGCCTGTTTTTATCGGCATTATTTATACTTGCTGTCTAATAATGGTTCACCCCAGAGGATACATTTGGTCTCATCGATCACCTACTGTCAAAATAAAACTAATAAAATGGGTTTGGTTAGGCTGCACAAGTTGCTCCTACTTTTCGGGCATGAGTAATTCAAACATATGTTTGAAAATTTCAGTTGTTTTTCAGGCAACCAAAAGTGACTTACATGCACATGTTGATATTGTACTGATCAGTTCTAATGCTGATGCTTGCTGGGAAAGACTGTGGCTGAGAAAAATATAGAGCTTAGTGACCATGCTAAGTAGATTGTACAACAGGAACAAATATTGATGGCAAAACAACAGTGAGTTGATCTTTAAACAGGACAAATGGCTTAATTTTTGGTGTTGTCAGGGCCCTGTGTTGCTGGCGTGGTAGGTCTGACTATGCCTCGGTACTGCCTTTTTGGAGACACTGTCAACACTGCCTCTCGCATGGAATCCACTGGGCTGCGTGAGTGTCTTGCACACATACCCACCATATTTTTTTTAGTGTGTTGTTCCATGTATTGTTTTATTCTAACTTTCTGATCTCCTCCCTTTGTCCCTCAGCTTATAGAATCCATATAAATATGACTACTGTGAAGATCCTCCATTCTCTTAATGAGGGTTATAAAATAGAAGTCAGAGGCAAGACAGAGCTGAAGGTAACATAGCCTACAGTCATTTAGCCTCAGTATTCTGTACTGAGACAAGTATTGTACAGTCTATTAATCAATGTAATGTGTTTTTCAGGGTAAAGGTATTGAAGAGACATACTGGCTTGTGGGGAAAACAAACTTTACAAAGCCTTTGCCAAAACCACCAGAGATCAAACCAGGGTAAGAGCTTCAACCTATTGTTACTCCTTGCACCTTCAATATGGCTGAATTAAATAAAAAGTAATTATAATACTAAATGTGTGCAAATTAATAATGATCAAAAGTATACTTGCTCATACCATACTCTTACCCATCTGATCTAAACCTGTTCTAATATGACTGAAACCCTATTTCTTAAGCAGTCGCCCTTGGCAGGAATGATCTCATGTTCTCTTAGTTCAGTTTGCAGATAGTTTAGTTTAAAGTAGTGTTACGTTTCATTAGTTTCTAACTGTAACTGCCTCCTGCCACTGATACTGTATACTTTCAACTCATGCAAATTGCAACTATCTGGATGTTACTTCAGAGAGGACAATCACGGGCTGAACCCTGAGGATATAGCTTCGTACAGGAGAAAGAAAGCTGAGAAAAAGGCTTGACCTTCTTAGTCCGAACACAGGAGGTAGACCTGCATGCCAGCTGGTGTTGTGCTGTGGAAATGTTACTGTGGCTGTCAGTTTGATGTGACCAAATGCGACCTCTGAGCCTGTAGACGCACAGTTTTGTCTCATTGATTGCTGAATCTTATTGATTGCTCTGTGACCCACTACTCTCATTAATCTCTTGATCTTATCACCTTCTACATCTTCTTAAGCAGATTGGGGAAAGCCCTCTTTGTTTACTTCATTCACTTTTTCTGGCTGGCACATTTTCATAATTAACTCCCACGTATTTTACTGTGTTTTTGGCTGAATTTGTTGCGTTTCTGTCTGCTTTGTGGTATGCTTTCATTGTATTTTCATGTCCTTGAAATAATGTATAAAACAGATGTCTCTGTAAAATACAGTATTGGTCTTAACTCCACCCTCTGCATTTACTAGGGACAACTGGCAGGAGATGGTGACAGAGGAGATCAAAACCCTTTTTAGGAAGGCCAACAGGCAGGTGGACAATAAGATCTGAATGAAAGAAGGAGAAGGTAAGATGTGAAAGAAGCAAAACCAGAGGAGCAGAAGAGAGGAGTACACATCCAGAGAAAAGGAAGAGACAACGAGCTGGGAGGGGCAGGCAGAGGACAGAGAGCACCACACAGCCTCTCACTGTGGCTTAATGCAGACTTGTTTAAGAGGATTGTCCATCGACTGGCTAATCTGCCTGCAGCCAGCGCAGCAGAACACGACGGTGCTAATGTAATGAGAGTTGTCGCATCACCTGCCTACGTACCTGCTGCCAGTAGCACAGGGAAGCTGCACCACTCCTTAATGACGGATGCACTCATTCACTCCTCTCCGCACTCACTGGCCACTGAGTGGTCACCTATTTCAGGGCAACCAGAGGTTCACCCATCGGAATATTGAATGCCCCAGACGCCTATTTCAAAATGAAATGTTATATTTTCTGGTGATAATGTCTGTTTTTAGTTTGCCATAAAAGCTCATAATAGAGTTGTGGTGCCGAGGCTGTTACTTCGCTATGGCTGGATATAATATGTTATTAGCTCTCCAAAGTTGGAGGCAAAGGCTGCTATTGTATATAATTATCAAAAGAGAAGAGCAAATTTGGCACTTTTATTTCTACTATTTTAGAGCAGAATGACAAGGAAAAGTCAGTCAAGTCCATTTGAGGCCATTCCAACAATGTTTTTTTTTATTAAACTGTCACCCTTTTATTTACACTAATGAAAGGGTGACAGTGCTGGGAAAGTAATGACAATGCAGCATAGGGTAATGAAAATGATTTATTTTCTGTTATAGTCAATACAATTTTAAGGTGTACTAGTGAAACATGTTGCTGTTTCCAGTGTTCAGTGGTGGATTAATTCCACTGACACATATTGATGTCAACACCTATAATTATGGTTAAAGTACGTTGATCTAAATTGGATGTTTGTGCTACAACATATCTGTTTGCTATCAATAATAGACCTCTAATACAAAGTCATAAATTATGTGAAGTTCATCGGGAACATGTTTTTTGGTGGTCATTTTTTTTTCAACATCTCAGCATTTTAACAACTTAAAATCTTGTTGGTTTAATGTGTCAATATGAGAACGCAAACTCTGCTCACACAGCAGTTTTTATTCATGACACTGACCAAAATTGCCTCTAAATTGAATTTCACTTTGTCTTGACAAAGTAACTTTTGTGCACAAATTTATTTATTAAAGTTTATTTCTGAGTTCAGGAGAGCAAACTGTGAGCACAAAGTTAATCATGTCTCCAACAGTTGATGTTGCACTATATTAATGTTCCACTACGGCCCAAGACTTTTGTGTTGCCAGAAACTCTAGTGCAGTTTTCCTCACAGATGCATGATGTGTCTGAGTGATACTTATCAGCACCATCTAGTGTCCAAATTAAGATATTTGCTCAGGAGCACTGAATGGATTGTTGTTGTTTTTATTATTATTATTATCGACAGAGTGCTTTTGAGTAAAAATAAAAAGTTCACTGCAAACACATGTTGGCGTAAGGGAATACCTGAGAGCAAATACTACAAATAAAATTAAACAAAATAGTTAATTAAAATATTCAAATATGCTATTTGATAGAACTGTATTTGTGAAAGTTTTGTTTTGACCTAAACCCCAAATATGAAGTCACCTCTCAACTGAAACCATAGCCAATTATTATTAGAACCATTATATTCTAATAACACTTTAAAATAATGCCCTGCATCTCATCATGTTAATCTTAACTGTAGAAGCAGCTTTTTTCATGCTTGGTGTACAAAACAACAGCACAGTCAGTCAGAAATGTGTATATTGTGTAATTTATATGTTGTCATTTGTCTTGTATATTATCACTGCAATGCAAATTATAAGGTGTATGTAAATATGACATCAGTCATAGTAATTAAATCATTGATTTGTAACACTTTCATTGTTTGCCATTCTTTATAGTGCAACCAGTCCTGTTCCTCTTTGCAACCAGAGGGTGGCGCTGCAGCTCTTCTACAGAATTTCATAAGGCATTTGTTTCTTACAAAGGGATTGCATAATGTTGTAAGAGGGAAGTATTCAAGATTTATTCTTGTTTTTGCATTTTGCACCTATTTTTGTGATGCCATTTTGAGAATAAATGTAGACAAATGTCTTAAGATAATGCTTAGGCTGTATAAAAGTCACCTTTAAAAGTACTTTCAGCCTCCTGTTGCATTGCAGTCACCTTTATTAGCTGTGCTGCAATTTCAGGAGATTGAGTTTCCTACTCGCCATGAGAACCCTGCACTCCAGTTTTTGCTCTGCAGAGTCTGCTTTTCCGCAGTTTCAGCTGAACAAAGATCCAACTGGCTTTATATATAGGCTAGCAATGGTGAGGAAAATGAACCACAAAATTCTCTGGATAGTTGTCTATGGCAGATTAGCAATATAAGGAAAGAGCCCTCATTGTCAAATCCCTACATTCCAGACCTGGGAGGATTGTTTGACCTCCAGCCAACTGGAAAGATTGTTATCCTTTTACTTTGAGAAGTTAACTCTAGCGGGCTCACATTCCTCTATTCAACACGCCGTAGGACTGTATCAACTGTGTTTGTACGGTATTCAGAGATGCTTAGCAAAAATAGAACACACACACACAAGGATCATTTTCTTTTTTTTTTATTGAAAAGTGAACAAATTATTATGTAATCACACAATTCCAGGAGCTTCTCTGTGAAAATACCTACAGCAACAAAATGACACAGTATGGTTGGCAAGTGAACATAAAGCAAACACCAGACATTTTGCCACCTTATCTCTGCACGTTCAACTTATGCAGAGAAACAGTTCAGTGCAGACCGGAGGCAAAAATAAAAAAAACTGAGAGCATGAAGGAAAGCAGTGAGACAGAACTGTCAAACAAGCTTGCGCACAGATCTTTTTCTCTTTAAACATTAAAGATAATGCAAGAAAACACACATGGATCGTAGCTGAACAAATACTGGCGAAGAGGATGTAAAGAAAAAGAGTTCATACTTAATATAAGCATGTTGTCTGCTGTGGCAACTGCTGTTTGTTAATGTAAATCTCAAATGAGGCACATATTTGTGACTGAGGACATTATTCAAGCCAAGGGAGCTGGAGGGTGAGACCGTACACAGAATTGTTCCCTGCAAAGGTTTGATGTGTCTAAAAAGAGTAAGCTCAGATACTCAGACCACAGATTGACTATTGGAATGTGCTCATGAGGTAACAGGCATACCAGAAACACACACAAATTCCTGCCATTATTTCACAAATAACATAGCTACCTACCACAATTCACAAAATTAGCATTATAGCTCATCGCGCATCTTGTCTCCTTTAGGTTTGACTACCCTGCCGATGTACATAATGGAGTTGGTCTTGTTGTCCTTCACCAGGAAAATGAAGGGGTGATCCACGTAAAAAAGTTTGGGATTCCTCAGTTTCTCAGAGCCGAAGATGCTGGTGTCGTATGGGTTTCCTTCCACATCCAGCTCAAGGGTTGACGCGTGGAAGATGTTAGAGAGGTAGAGGTCCTTCTTTCCGGAGATGTTGGACAAGTCTGCCTTGGCTTTGTCCACAGCCTCTGTCAGGCCGAGCTCAGCCAGGTGTTTCTAGAAAAGACAGAGAATTGCTCAAGTCAAGGGGTTGTGATTTTTACGTGTCTATACAATAACTTTTCATTGTTACAGCCATTTCTCCATCAAATAGCCACTATTTACCTGCAGGTTGTGGCTGACATCCACTGCGATTTTGGGGAGGGAAATGGCAACAGCCCTGTTCTCCATCTTGCTGATCCAGGTGTCCACCTGCTTCCTGGTCAGGAGTTTCTCCAGGCGCTCTAGGGGCTCCAGGTGGTAGGGCATGATCATGATCATAGAGGCCTGCTTCTGGCCCAGAGGCATGTTGAGCACATAGATACGGTTCTCTGTGTCCTCGTAGAAGTCATACAGACCTGCAAAGAGCGGAGAAGTCAGATGTCTTATCTTGCTTGCACTGTTGTTGGTAGAATCAGTTTTGAAGACATAACAACATATGGTCGGGGGGTAGAGATGATGGAGAGAAACTCACCAGTACGATGCATCATCGGAACTCCAACGGTGAATGAGCGGGTAACCAGGAAAGCACGTGTGTCCACCATTTTATCATGGAATTTCTCATTCCAGTGAGCTGTGGGACAAAACACAGAGACAGTTACATGTCTGCACAATCCTTTTGCATGCGACATTCGGCGTGACCAGACATGAAACCGTGGCTTTGAATAAGAGACACTACTTATACTCACGCTTGAAGAACATAGCATTGACGATCATGGCTCCATCTGGGTTCTGCACATCCTTGGTGATCTCAGGCAGCTTGCCACCTGTAGACTTGGCTGCCCACTCGTTGATGGAGTTCACTGCACTCCTCTTGTCCCTGAAGTTTATTTTTGAATGGTCATAGTTGTAGTGCTTCTTGCTGTTTTTCACAAAATCATCTGCAAAGGAGACAGAGCTGGGGCCATAGAGGCGGTTGTTGATCTTCCAGGTAGTGTTGCGTGTCTTGGCATCGCTCACCTGGGAACGTATAAAGAGTGACAAATGAGCAATATATAGAAAGTACTGAGGGTCTAGTTTGAGGCTGAGTACCAAATATATAGGAAATAAAATTAATGGTATCAATGGGATACATAACATGTTGGTAATAAATTCTTACATACAGTGTTGGATATTGTTGTACTTACCTCAGTGAGCAGCTCAGACAGGCCTGCATGCAGATGCTCATCCTTCAGTTTATCAACACTGAGGACGGTTTTGACCTGGGAGGCAGTGGTGGCCTTGCCACCAAGAGCCACAATCCCCAGAGAGGAGGCCACGACCACAGGAGAGATGAGGATGTTCTCTGTGCCTTTCTCCTTTGCCATGTTGTGGTAGAGACTAGAACAAAATCACAAATAAGATTATATGTTGGTGTTCCTAACAAAGAAAGAGAACAATGCTTAAGCAAAACCAAGAGTGTATAATAGAAACTTAATTATAATCATAGTAATATATAGATTTCAGACCTGAAGGCCAGATTGGCACTGTTGTCAGCCAGTGTGGTGGCATGGCTGCTCAACTTCTTGTCCTCTGCAGAGGCCACAAGGGCCAGCAGACAAAGAGCTACAATGTTGGTCATCCACATCCTGTCTGTCTCCAAAAGCAGCTATAGCAGCCTGTGAAAAATGAACAAAAGAAAAAGTTAGGGTTAACATTACCTAACCCTGGCTGGTCTCCTAATAAAAGAGATATGTGTATTGAGTTTGAGATGAAAGGCACACATTAGAATAACTCCTCAGAATGGGTTTGTGGAATGAATGAATCTTCAGAACTATTTTATTTTAATAAAATCATATCTCACAAAGCACATACTAGGGCACAGACTACGATTTGGATGTGAAGCTGTTAGTGGAAGGGCAGGATTGGCTCAGCCCACACAGAAAGCTTTGGAATGCCTCCAGTTTCAGGCAGGCACGTTCCTCGCCACGTCAGCAGCAACTGATGCTTAGCTGTATAGCTGGAGCTGCCTTACACGCAATGATTCGAGACTGAAATATGATGCCTTCTCTGTTCTCTACATTTATTGTAATTGACGCAAAGTGTTGCACATCAGCACTTTGATGAATTTAATTACTTCTTCTTGAGACACATCCCTGTGTTTCACTGTGCAGACATTCAGTCCAGTCTTTGATACTTTTACTTGTTCTTGCAGCAGCACTCTTGAGCCTTCCTTTGTCCCAGAGAAAGGGCGTGTGCCTGCAGTCTATATTAAACTCATTCCATCACATGTTCAAACAACAAAGCCAGTACATAAGGCGGTAATTAACCAGCTGCTAGGCATCTCTGAACATGTCTCTGGTCCCCCTTCACCATCCTGAGTGCAGAGATATGTTTGTATATCTGCATCTCAGTATTTGCATATTTGTGATACAGCAGAAATGACTTTGCATCATATTCGGATACCTTGAGATGTTTTGATGTCTGCGATTTTCATTCTGAAAGACAAGAGGTGTATGTAGTAATCTCCATAGAGCAGGCAGTAAAACATTATACAGGCTCTGAGCGAGGCATATTCTGTGTTGTTTTTTATTTTTATCGTCTTATTTCCCAGTTTTAAACATTTAGACTTAAAACATTTAAGCTTTAGTTGAGTTATTGTACAAGTTAGTCTTCACTCATTCAGACACGTAAACTTTTTTCATTGGCTGGGTGTGAACCAGAAAAAAAAACTTTCATCCAATCAGCTGTGCCACAGTGGAGCAGCACTGATTTCTGGAGGAGAGGGTTGAACCCGGGTGCTTTTATCATCAAAAAGTAATGGATAAAATTGGGTGCATATAAAGTACTTTCCTTTAGTAAATCTGATTACACTTAATGCATTTAAACAGACTGCAAAGCAGTGACATGCAAGAGGCAAAAAGCTTTAGTATCACCATGCTGGGATAAGTTTAAAAACTTCAAGCTCTCCAATTATTTTTTCTCTACAAATAAAATACTGAGTGCTGGTCAAACAGCCAGAGAGATAGCAGAGATTTGAAACTGGTTAAAACAGAAAAATGCTGCTCTGTAAATTTAAACCATAAAAAACAAAGCAGCCCTTTCATCCTCTGCATTCCTTCCAGAAAACAAAGACAGTTATCTTCTAATCCTTACCTGGCACAAAGTCGCTGGATTTCTTCTCTGAGGTGTGTCCTGTAAGAAGCGTATCTGTAACACACTCTCCTGCCCTATATATCCTGAGAAAGAACTTTCTAGAAGTGGGAATGGGATATTCAAATGAGGGTGTCTGCCTTTTCTCAGGAAGTTGGGAGCTGGGACGTCCCCCTTTGAAACCACAGGCTGGAATGAGAGGGGTGGGTGACTTCCTCAGCACTGGTCTGGGCTCAGCTTTGAAACTTTCCCAGCAGCGGCTGCAGACAGAAATGCATTGAAAAATCAGATTCTTGGTCAGCCTGAGTTGCTGATGTACAGAATTACTCCTCAGCCTAAAGGTCCTAAAAGCTGCTTGCTGATTCAATCTCTAACACTGGTTTCATCATGTGTAAAACATAAAGAACACAATGTGTTTTAATATGAATAAAGGATTCTTGTGCATGAAACCTTGTGGCAAATGAACGCTGCTTTTGCAGTCATTGAAAATTTGAGAGTATTGAGAGTATGAGCCTCTTTAGAACACCATTCTTCTGCAATCTCAGCAGACAAGATTAACGTCAGTGAAAGGGCACACTCTTTGCAAATGTTCCCAGAAGAAATAAAAGTAATTTTCTTTGAAAGCAGTAATTTTATTGCTGTTAACCTTTTTAAACGGATGTCTGATTTCAAACGGAAACTTCCAGAACTTCAAAAGCTTCACTCAGTATTTGTGCTTCACAGAAGTTGCAGGATCTCCAGCCCTGCCCCACCCCCACAGTGCCACGTCTCTCTAGCTCAGCTGCTGATTGTAGGGTGGTTGAAGGATGGGGGTGTTGGACGACCACTGTCATAAAAACTGCAGTGTCCTGACCGGGACCTCTTGTCTTAACTTATGCAAGCATTTTAAACAAAAGAAGTTATAAATACTTGTGTAAAGCTGTTCAGCGTTTACTTGGATACTTCACATTGATATTAATGTCTGCACTATGATATCAGAGTCAGACAATGTTAGTCATTAACTTTTCTGTATCTTCTTTAATCTACAGAAACCAATCAAACATTTGTCACACTTGTATTCACTATAGAGAGTAAAACATTTGATAGATAAGTTGTCACTATGATTACAGAATAAAATCAACATAACAATTGATCAAGGTGTCTGACAAACAATTTTGCAACCAGAGGAATTCCATCAATCTTAATCCCCAAACTCCCCCTCTTTTGCTGCGCTCTGCAAATTGCCAACTGATGAATGATGCCAACTGATGCCTTGTACTGTAGTTTATAGTGGCTTGTTGGAGGGGGGGCTCCAGAAAGTTCTATGAAAGTTTGATGTTTGAAAAAAAATCCTCTCATTTCAAATTATACCATACTCCCATTTTTGGGGATAGTGAGGCCACCTACTACTTTAACACACACGGGCAGGTTTGCAGCTCCTTCCCTCACCTCAGTGGGTGTTGTCATTCTGAAAAAGCCCCAGGGGCAACAGTTCACACTGAAATTCCTCAGCATGTGTAGAGGGCAGCTTCTGGGTCAAGCAAGTCTGGTCAGATCTCCCTGTGCACATAATCTCCTTTAAAGTAGCAATACTTTCATTGTCTACTAATGTGTGGCAGAGGCCTGGAACATTCACACGGACATGAAAAGAGTGAAGAAAAGGACACTTACAGGGGCAGGAAATAAAATAAATGATTTGTTTCTATAAAGAAGTGTAAGAGTGTTCAAGGGGTCATCCAAGATTGTGTGCGTGTTTTTGTGAGGATAAAGAAGCTTCCAGCACTACCACCACGTGCAAACATCTACAATACTATCAGAAGATTTAAGATATGGCAAGGAAAGACATAAAGGCTATAGGCACAACACTAAATGATGCAATATTTCACCAACTGTTTTTGAAATATTTTCATAAGATTGCTTCTCAAAGAGAATCTGTTATGCAGAATGACAGACCTCAGAGGGTGGAGCGATTCTTAAATAACTGCAGCAACGTAATGATCTGGAGCCTAGTCAACATCTGAACCTCATTACTCTAACCTCAGCACCAGTCTTGGTCAGTTGCATCCTCAGTTGTGTCTTTCTTAGCGTTGCTAAAAGAGGATCTACCAATAAGATTTTTGCTTGCTGGTATCAGTCAGTAAAAGTTCATTTGCAGTCTATAAATTTAGATTTAAATGATAAATTATGCCTATGGTTGACAGATTACCAACACTTTTAACAGGATCATCAATAATGTACTGACTGGGGAATGTAAGAAATCATTACACTTTGTTGTAAGTCTTTGCAATTTATCAAGTTGAAAGGCACATTTTATAAGTAATGGAAAGCAATAAAATTAAAATCAGCTGCCCATGCAGTTGCCCTGTAGAGGAGGACAGACAGACAGACCCCTACGTGGGGGTTGTGAACAAACAAAGGAGTTCAGTCACTCTCCTGTCTTACCATCTGTGTTAGCCCTTCAAACAAAAACTCCAATAGGACTTTGGCAGCTTGTTGCAACTGTAAAGAGGTTTTCTCAACACCTCTCTTTTTGTTTATCTCTTCTATATGTATCACTGTCAATGATTCCTCTCCAGTGTTCCTTCCAGATGGGCTACATTCCAGTGCTAAAACTACCCAGCTGTATCAGTCTTTCATTACGATTCAAAGTTGCTAAAAACACAAAATGTTTTTAAAATAATCTTTTCTTTAAACGTTTTACAGATGATAAATATTGTATATGATGTATATGCAGTATCAGTGTTGGTTGTAATCTTGCCATTCTCTCCCAAACTACTACGGCCACGACTACACTCTGAGAAATTGTTATATACATAGACTGCAGGGTAGGAAGACGAACGCAGCTGCCAGGAGGACTATGACGCAAGACCTGAGGAATGTTTCAGTCTTGCTGTATGATGTAACTTTCTGAACTTTTCTGTCTATGAGTGCAGAAAGGTGCTTGATCATATACAGTTTGTTTAATGTCCGCATTGTCTAAAGCAGACTTACATTAGCTGTAATGAGGATACAATAAATTAGACGCCTATTTGGATGCTATGTTTTAACTAAATATAGATATATTTAATGCATTTTATATTAACTGGAGAGTTAGGACCACTTGCTCCTTCTCTGAAACAGACAGAATGACCACATAGTCAAAATGAAGACATGAACTGTGTAACTGTACTAAACAACTGCTACTTCATAAGGAGTAGTTTCTTAATAAAAGCTGTTACTAACCTGTTCCATTCTCATATGAATATCTCATATAATATTGTTTATTAATATATTTATTTTATTTCATTTTCAGTAGGAAATGTATGGCAAAAGATTGTTATCATCATACCACTGTCTAAATCCAGTCACTAAACAGTTCTTCTATCTTTATTAAGAATAGACAACGCCAACATTTGACATAGATCTGTCTGATTTAAAAATCAAATAAACTATTTTTGGTGGGGTAAAAGGATATTCCATTAAAATCATTAGGTTGGCCATATTGACCACATGTTAAAAAATTGTATTCAACAGAATAACAAATGTTAGTTGGATACTTTCTCACTGCAGAGTAATAAACTGTCTACTTTGGATCTAACTTGATGACAAGGCAGGAGGTGAATCTTTCTAATGGTTTTACTACTGAGCTAATGTGCCCCCTGGTGGCAAAAGTTTGAAAGCTTCCTCCAAGGCCATCATAGTAATTAAAGTCTTAATTAAGGTTATATTCAAGTTTATGTTCCTTATTTTACTCTAAGGCTGTTTAAAATTTAACTTCTTAATTTTTTAATCTTCCACTGTGTGAATGTGAAAAAATGCAAAAAGAAAAATGTTGCACATAAATCGAAGACATCCACCAACCCTTTAAGTTTTTAGAGAAGCCTTAAATCTTGGATATAAACACTGAAAGTCTACAAAATTAGAAGAACCAGTGTAAATTATTTTAATTGTTTGCAAGATTTATCTGCTAGTGCATTGCATTGTGGACTAACAGCCACTAGATGGGGTGCAAAAGTAAAGTACGTGCCCCTTGCCAGAGGTTCAGCAATTTGGTTTTCACTGTGGAAAAATTAAAGGACATGTAAATTAAAATATTCAAACAATAATTCTCAAGCTCAGTGAATGTGTAACAGTTCATAACATCAGCGTGTGTTTCTGGCCTCTATACCTGTGGGATAGTTGTTACATACATTGGAAAACCTGTTTCAGAGCTAAGTAACAAGTTTCATACCAACTCCCTACAGAGATCTATACAGTATTATATTAAATCCATGCTGTTTCAATCCCCTTCAGACTCGTTGCACTGAGGCCTCCGAACAAATGGCACCCTGCTGTGAAATTCCAGCAGACCTTTAAAGTCACAAGCTGTTGAATTGGCATTTAGTCCAAACAGTCTGGCTGCGTTGGTATTCTCATTATTCGTCTTTGTTCACCCTCTCCCTGCACCAGTCGTGTTCTGTACCCTTTCAGACAACATCAGTCACAAACTCTTCACCCGACCCTGCTGCATTACGTAACACACCACATGCAGAGAAGACCCCTACCAGCCGTCCTACTCTTCCTGCCTGTGGAGGCTGGTTGGCATTTAAAAATGGGTGGAGTTCATAACAAAGTGAAGCAGCTGGAGCTGCTGACTAATGCCAACCTGTGGTGAGAGGAGCAGGGAAGCCCAGGTCAGCCACTTCAAACAGGGATATGTCACAGGAAATGCCCTTAAGGGGAGCATTTCCCTTGCTTCGCCACCTGTAGATGATCATGGAGCGACAATGCCATGGTGTGTGTGTGTGTGTGTGTGTGTGTATGAATGGCTGCATGCATATGAGGGTGGAGATATAATTGCAACATCAAATTGCCTGATAATTAAGGTGCTGTTTGATCTGAATGCAGCTTTATGCAACATGTCTTAAGAAAGACACAAATGCAGGCACACACTCTTCATTTCCATCAGAATGACGCTAAAGTATCTGGCAGCATCACTGCACTGACTGTTTCCTTGGTGATAAATCAAAACCGTTTCTCCTTTTAGCCACAACTCCTCCTACACTTGACATAGGAATGTTCAGAGTTCAGGCGAATTAATTAAATGCAACTGATCTGAAAATGGTTGAACACATCAAACACTGTATCTGTGCTGGTGAGTCATTTTCACACTACAGAGACCTGCTGACCACCTGTCATTGTCCAGGATGATCATCACAGTCTGAAGGAGCTACACTGTGTTCTCTGATATAATACATATTTGAATTTGTCTGTGTAGCCTTGGTGTAGATTTAAATGATCTCACATGAATAATTAGCTGATGACAGGAGGATAGCAAGAACATTATGAGATAAACAGTTATCTAAACACTGTATACTATATATAATAAATTCACTTCCATGTGTACAGGTGTTTGAAAAACACTGGGCTGTATTTAATTATATACTTGTGACTGGTCCCTGTATCTAGAACCATGGGATCAGAAAAGCGATAGGTCCCTGTATAATTGGGTCCAACTCCCAGCTGTGGATTAACTCTGCCCTTGTGCGTATTGCTGAACTGAATCTGTATACTTCAAATGCTCTGATGATGGCTCTGTGCCAAAAAAGTGTTCTTCTATTGTGACGTGAGCCAGTAAATAAGTGAAATGTGAGTATTTGGTCCTTGTTCTTTTAAACATTGGGAGGTATTACCCTTCCATATTTTTAAAATATGTCCAATGATCAATCATTATGAGTCCATCTAATCAAACTAGCATATTTCAACATCTTTCTTGTAACAATCAATTCTTCTTTCTTACAGCACTATCTGGATTTACAACTTAATTAAGGATTCATTGTATCCGTCAAGTTGGTACACAGTGTTTGTTTATGTTTTCAACATATTAAATTGTGGTTAAAATGTGGTTAAATGTAACTTGACCCTGAATGCAGTTATTGATCCAATTAACAAAAATCGGATTCATTTCCTGAAAATCATTCCCCCCACAAAGGTCAACGTCTGACATTACAGGCACTGTGGCACGTCTATAAAGCTAACAGGACATTAGGACGAATACTAAATGTGTCACAGTGTGTGTCAATCGGTCGATTGCGAGGCAGCGCTGACATTACATGGTCTCTGATTATGACTGCAGATGGTGTTCTTGTGACAAAAATCAATAAATCAGTTTTGTTTAATGAGTCATCTGCTATGTGTCAATATGACATACTACAACATGCAAGGCACCCCTTTGATAGTTTGATTGTTTACGTTATTTATTTGGCTGGTGGATTATTAATGAGACTTATTTTATGAACAGCAATTATTTTGATCAGATCCAATGGTCCCACATAAGACATTCGCCATATGTTAAAGCAGGAAACAATCACAGAAAGATGTAATGCAGATGAGTAATCTGACTCAAAGGAAAGTCTGTCTTCATTTTAAGAGAGAATAAAAAGATGAAGAAAAAAAAAACAGAAGTGATAAAAACAAGACTGGTTTGAGAAATAAACCTGCTCTGATGACCAAACACTCCAAGCAATCAGGGCTGTTTGTGACCTTTAATCTTTGTCATGTGGTAATAATCAACACTGCATTTTATGTAGTATCTCACAATATCACCAAAGTGTATCAGGTATGCTGTTAAGATAATAAACTGATTGATAAAATGCCCTTTTGGCTTACACGATATTTACACGTTGTTGCGTTCAAGTGGCATCGGATTTTCTGCTTACGTACGACCGATCTGTCAACTGGGTGTACCCGATGTTTGTAGTTTAGCACCATTTGGCTTCGATTTCTCTCACTAAGGTTGCTAGAACTTACAATAAATTCAATTCTGTTTAAAAACTCATCAATGGCCTTCAGTTTATCGAAATGTCGGCGATTCCAGTCAATTAAAACGACGCGAACGGTTTAAAGGTGTAGCAACCAGCGCAGCAAACCCGATGTGACCTGAACGCGCAGTCCCAGAGTAAAGTCAGCTTGGTGCCCCCCTCTCTCTCTCTCTCCCTCCCTCTCTCTCCCTCTCTGTACAGCAGGGCTGGAGATAAAAAGACCGACCGACACACACTCCTCCCACTATTCAGTACATTGAATTACTCTGCCTGGTACCGCCGCTCACAAAGACAAGAGGAGGCACGCTTTACCTTGAGAGGGGACAAAGCAGAGGACGGAGCAACTCTAAATATGACACGGGACGTCTTTTAGCTATCGCCGAAGCCACCGACACCGTCCCGTACTCACCCGGCTCTTTCCTCCCTTTTGTTTTCGGTGTGAAACTTTGACTCTGTCAGCATTTAGCGACCACCCACCCTCTCACACGTTACCTTTGACACGAGTTGTCCCCGTTTGACTCTCGGGAGAGGAGAGGGGGGTGAGCGTTTTTACCGGGGAGAGAAAGAAAAAGGAAAAGCCTCAACGTGTGCCGCAAAGCTAACTAACCCGAAATCAGAGGAAAGTGGTAGCAGCCCCCTCAGACAGGTGAGTGTGCAGCGGATTGTTGGAGGGGTTTGTCACATTTACCTGTAGGGGGGGTTCATAGCAGCACTGGTTTCTGTCAGAACATTGTTGCAGTTAGATATGTTGGGAAAGTGTTTGTAGCTCTCGGTAATGTCAGCTTTTCTTTTTCTTTTTCTTTTTCTTTTTCTTTTCTTTTTTTCTCTCCATGGTAACACTAGGTCACGTAGCTGTAACGTGCCCACAGTCAGTACAAGCCAGTCACAACTTACTGGAAGTGGCAGGTTTCTGTCCTGTTCTGCATGTGTTTGCATATGTAGAGGTTGGATCGTGTGTTACTGTGAACCTAATCGGTGCCCATCACAGGGTTTAAGCTCAGTACACCTTTGTGCTGAAACTGTGGATTGATTCACACACCTGAGTTTCTTCACCATCACCTCATTGTATGTATATCTCCCAGTCAGTGCATCATGTAAAGACACATATTGCAAGTGAATCCACAGAGGCTAGCAGTGGGTTGCTCCATGCACAGCACTCTTGCCACTTACTTGCATAATTTATTACCACCATTATTTTTTATTTTTTGTTTTGAAGATGAGGATTTTGCATTTGGATGTTTCCTGGTATGTTGGTGTTCCAAGAAAGATTAGTGTTGTTGAGATCATGGGACGACTTATTGCGTTTGTGTCGGGAAGCTCTTCATCAGAGGCAGTTTAATCTAGTAAACGCGCAGGAGTTCAATGGTCTTAAAACTTTGGCCACTGGAGAGGATCCATTTGGTGTATCGTCTCGAACTGTTAGATCTTTCTCGACTGTGTTAACACTTCCCCATCTGTCACGACTACACTTCCAGTAGAAACGCGTCTTATTTGTTTTTCGGCAAGGCTTCCATTTGACAATTACCCTTCATCATCACCATCATCATCTAGGCTTTAAAATGATGACTTTTAAGGCGATTAGGAGCTGTTTTGTCAGAGTTTCAAAAGAAAGATGACTCAGGACGAGTGACTATGCAAGGCTGTGTCTTTTTATTGCTTTTTTACAACATCTATAAATGGACTGAAGGGCCTTGGAGTGGAGTCTGCTGAATGCTGTGTTTTTGAAACTTTTTGGCTTGTACAGTAACGCACTGTATAAGCTCCTGCATAGTAAGTGGGGCTCCTGTCCCGAGGGCAGCCAGCACTATGAAAATGTTTTCAGGTCATGACATTGAAACTCATGTTGTTTGCCACACGAGAATATAAACATGGCTCTGAACAGTCGGGTCGCTCCGGTTTCAGCTGTGGGAGAAAACTATACAACGGCTGACATTTTGAGGTTGGCTGGAAAAAGCAGTGACATAACGTATACATCTCTACAGTCCTTCCACTTGTTCTTGGATCCGAGTGGCAGTGGAGGGGTGAGGTGTTGTGTGGTTTCAGAAATGTTCTTTTTTTTTTTTGAGAATAGGGGGAGAGATATAATAGGCCAGAACATGGAGGAATGCAGAGTGCTGTGGTCGAAGCAGTAATCCACTTACTGGATACCACAGTGTTGTAGAAGCATTTATCTACCTGCCAACCATGCATATTGCTGCTGATTAGACATGTAGAGTGGCAGACAGTAGCTGACCCTATTGTCCGTTTGAGTCTAGTATTGGGTGGGATTGATTCTGTGTTTCAGCCGTTCTGCTTTGCCCTGCTTATGCAACCGCTGTACACCTCTCTGTTTATGTGCTGTGTCCCTGAATAGCTGTTTCTAAGAAGGCAAACATGACCGACACTCATCCCCACACTAGATGCCAGCTTCATATACACGGAGGAACACATCTGTAAGATCTGTCAAAGCTGGACACAGTCATCCAGAGTGAGTCTGACTTGTGAAAAAAAAAAAAAAAAAACCACAAGCTGTTTATTATTGTCTGCCCTGAAGCAGTGAGATCAGATCCAGCCCTCCCCGTCTCCCTCTCGCTCTCACACGAACGCACACACGCGTTCATCGTCTGTACCGATCCGCAGTAAGAGTAACGAACCTCCACACAGAGCTGGCACGCGTCGGAAAGCGTTTGCTGTTAATTTAGTTTTCCATGTGGTTCCACTCGATGACGCAATAGCCAAGGTTTAATGCAAAAGTGATGGGTGACTAAGTTGGATTTAAAGGTCCAGTTTGTGATGTAGGGGTCTCTAGCGGTGTAGTTGCAGATTACAATGCCCTCACCTCACCCTACTGTTCCAAGCACGTAGGAGAAGCTACAGTGGCCACAAAACTCTCAAAAAACTCAAAGGGCCCCATCCAGAGACGGTGTTTGGTTTGTCTGTTCCGGGCTACTGTAGAAACACGGTTCAACATAGCAGCCTCCGTCTCAAAAAGAACAAACACACAGTTCTTATTTTCAGGTGATTGTACACTAATGAAAACACACCTATTAATATTATATTCTATTTCTGCCAACAGATCCTC